TGTATTATGTTTCTTATTGAGGGTGAACCAATCACTATAAAATATTGCTTGCAGTGCAGACCAGATTAACAACACCATCATTTTGCTTCTTGAACACCGTTTCATTGCTCCATAGAACAACATTTTGATTGCAAGGATTTTTTTAAAAAAGAAAATGAGGAAGGTGAGACCTTTGGCTTTCACGTTTTTCTAAATGACATCTCCATTTAAAAGGACAACTAAGTCTTTTAACAAACAGTTTGTTAAATATGGAGCAAAAAATGACTGCCACAATATTCTTCACAAGAAATACAACCATTATGATGAAATGTTTTTGAGAAAGTATAGATGCAAACAACTTTATTTTCACAGCAAGAAAACATTGACCTACTTGTCACAGAAAGTCAATAAAGGCACTTATTTGCAGATACAAACTTTTGGAATAGAATATTTTTGATATATCAGAGGCCAAGCTATTCCTCAAGAGGAAGATGAGTATTAACACAGCTTGAGTTTGTATTTAGCCAACACTTTAAAAAGGTACGCTTTTTACTTGGAAAAAAAAACGATAATCATGGTGTTGTAACCAACTTGAAGTATGGTTGTATTGTTGCTGTTACAATGTGCCTTCAAGTTCTTTCCAATTTATGGCAACCATAAGGCAATGCTGCCATAGGTTTCCTTGGTAAGATTTGTTCACAGGGGTTTACTATTGCCTTCTTCTGAGGTTGAGTGCGACTTGCTCAAATTCATCCACTAGGTTTCCATGGCAGAGTGTGGGCTTGATCCTTGATCCCCCAGAATCCTAGTCCCAACTCAAATCACTACATAACACTGGTTCTCAAATGGTTGTACAGCATCTACATTCTAATCATATCCAGAATTCAGTTGTGCATTAATCACTGTACATTCTTAATGAAATTTGCAGGCATTTTTGAGTAGCAGTTTGCTACTTCTTTTTCAATCTTGGATTAAGATGGCAATTTGAAATACAATCATTAAGGACACTTTGGAGATTTCCCTTTAAATATTTAAAATGAGCCATACTACCAATGCAAGTAAAAACACACAAACAAACACAGTCCTCTTCTAAATCACAGAGACATGTTAAGCGATATACAGGCTAATTTGTTAAAAGACACCTGAGTATTTTGCTGAACATATTTAGAATACCGTACAACAAATGTTCAAAATGAACCATAAAATGTAATGCATGTCAAAAATCTAAGTATGAATATACATGTGTACTGATCTTCCAAAATCATGTAGAGTTTTGCAAAACAAATAATTGATTAAAAAAATCATTTTGCTCTCTTCAGCAGAGGCTGAAGAAATTATACCAGTTAGATATGAGTAACTACAGAAATAAAAAGCTATAGCTTTTTCTGTTAATTTTATTTTTAAACTTTTTTGTGCGTTTTAAAGCAGATGGGAAAATTATTTTACGCTGCAAAATTCTTACATTTTCAGGAATGTTCGCAAAACTAAAGTTTAAAAATAATTCTTATTTTTTGGGGGGGAAGGGAAACTATGGTTATGCAATCATACAATTTTCAAGCAGTTAGATAATTTCTCGTTTCATCTGGTAAGAACTGGTTTCAGAACAAGGACTGCTCTACATATATCCCTATTGAAAGAAAAATGAGAATATACTTTCCATGTTAATACTTCTTGTCTTGTATCACGTTTCGACATCTCATGGTCCACCAAATTATTCCTGTAAGCTAAACAAAGTTATGTTCTCTGGGGGCATTGCCTTGTAAGTTGTTCAACTCCCATTCATTTGCTATTCATTTTTAAATGGCATGAGGTTACTGTGCTTCTGGTGAAATACTTCTTCAATCCCACAACAATCAATCTTGCTTTATTGTTTAGATGTATATGAAATCAATGACAAAGATCATCTTGAGAACTGGACATAATCTAGATACCACACCATTTTTTCATTTGATCCAGAATAGCTATCTGGATCTAACAAACAGAGGTTAGGGTATGTGCTGAGACAGGAAGATAATAATCCTATAAGCAACACTTCATCACTAAAAATAAAAATCCAACAGATGTTAATTTATCATTGTCAATTTTAGCTTAACCTTTCAAGATCATAATTGGCCAATATATTTAAAATGATCCTGCCCGTACTCTGTAATTTGTTCAACAGTAAATTCTGCAGCTGTGCTATCTTTCCTCCAAAACTAGAAATTGTACTTGGCATGAATAGGGTAACAGGCTTCTCAGTAGACTCGTCCAGACATTTGATTTTTATTGCTTCATTTATAAACAAACCTTTGCCATCAGATACAAACACTTTGATTTTTTAAAAGTTCACCTATTCTATTACTTGATCTCTTATGGTTAAATGTTACCATGTTGCTATGATTTTAGAGAGTTTTTTCTTAGTACTGCTTTTAATTAGTCAGGAACTGTATTGTATTTTCCTAGAGAAGTGATAAAAATTCTGTAAAATAAACTTCTAGAAAGTCAGAACATGTTTTTCCAAAGTTTTACTGGAAGTTTCGTTTTCTCCCTCAGAACTATTTTTGTATATATTTGCTTTTGTGTTTTGCATGTTGAATTTATCATTGAGAATTAATATTTAATAACTTTTGGACCTAATGTGTAATCTTATGGCACCTTAAAGACATAAATAATCATTAGAGCATAAACCTTTGTGTACACTGTCCATTTCATCAGATACATGGTGGCCCTGTTTGTCCTATGCAAACACTGAATAAATCAATGTTGATGTAAAAAGAAGGGACAACTGATCTGATCTGGATTAAATTTCTATCTGACAGGTAGCTAATAATAAAGCAAAAGAGGTAGCATTTATACATCTGAAGAAGTAAGCAGTTCTTGAGCAATAATAACAAGAGTTGTTCATTCTTAAGGTGCCAAAAATGTCTTGTCATGTAATAACAATTAAACCTGCAAATTAAATAATTAGTTCTCTAGTTGTCAACTTCATTCATAAACTAAGGAGAAATTAAAGATAAATTCAATTGTGGTTTTGAGAACTTCATCACTGCTTAGCATATCTATGCAAAGGAATCTTGTAGCACCTTAAGAGATTAACTGAGATACAAAGTTTGTAGCATAAACTTTTGTAGACTCGTTCTACTGCCTTAGAAGCATAGAGGCAGTCTGTAAACTTGAAAAGAATTACCCTCGTGGTCCTTTGAACATGGGGAGATTTTCAGGATTTCTTATGGGACATGCATCCTGCCAGCAGTATTATATATGCATGGAAGTAGCATTAATAAAATACGGAAGGGTTCAAGTGAAGATGTTACCAGGATCTCTCATAAAATTCCCCAAATGAGAAGAAGGAGTTGCACATGTCTCACATGCAATCACTCTCAGACATAACTTCTAAAAAATGGTTGTTGGCATGAATGGGAACACCAGTAATGATATTTCTGTAGTTCCAGCAGAAGGGGATACATGATTTCAAAGTACAGGATTACTGTATTCTCAATTGAGGTATTTCATTTATGTTTTCCAATTCTAGCACCTTTGAGGCATGGTTCGGCACTGTTTTGCACTGCAGTTCTTGTGGCTGGGTTGCATATACCAACATTCAACTGATATACTACAAAATAATGCATTTGCATAATTTTAGATGCATCTTGAGTATTGCATAATATAAAAATTGTATTTTTGATACCTTAGTTTCAAAAAACGACCAAACATTGTAGTCAAAAGTGGTTGGTTTAAACTAGGTATTCGGAATTACCACATACCTGAAACGTGTGTCATGATAACGTTCAGAAATATCTAGGATGTAAATGTCCCATAGTACAGATGATCATTTAATGAAGCCAGTAAAAAAACACTCAAAAACCAGACAAACAGCAGAGACATACATGCCAGTATTCAAAATATGTGTTTATTCCTTAACTAATGAGAAAAAAAAAAACTTATGTAGTCCAATCTGAGACTCAATGAAAGATATGTAAACCCAGCTGTCTCCCTTCACAGAGTAAGGTCTATATATAGAGAACTTATGTAGAACTGGAATGGGAGAAGATATGGTACAGAACTGAATAATCTGAATCAATATATCCATTAGTAATTATTTATTTATGATAGTGAAAGAATATATTGCAAGATATGCCAGGATTGCTGATCATGTGATAAAGCACTCATTCCAACGGGTTATATTCAATGTAAATTAAGATATCTATTCCAACTGTCATCCTTACCATTTCTCATTACACTTTATCTCTACTCCACTTCAGGAATAATGAACAATTCTTTATACCTCTCTGAGACACCACCTTCAACTTTTTTTTTCTTGAGTAGCATTCTAATCATAAGGATCTTACCCATATCTTCATGGAATACTGAATTGGGTTAATGTCCCTCTCTCTGCACACATACACAGACACCCCCTCTCTCTCAGACAGGTACTCAGTGAGAAGTAGATGTGATTGACAGAATCCAAAAGCAGTTCATTATAATACAAAGTTAAGATATTAATATAGATATGATTCTCCCCATCCTCCAGCATTCTCAATGTAGAATGACATAACAGTATACAACTTCCATACACAATGTAATATACAGATATAAATTACAATCTACTTCTGTTCCTAGTCATGACAAAGCACCTACCTCAGAATCCATTTTGTCTCTGCTCTCTAACTTTCCTACTCCTTTTAACAACCTCTTTCTCATAACTTCCATACATCATAGGATTTTGTTATCTTCTTGACTATCTCTTTTTAATCAGTCTGCCAGCACATATTCACGGGCAAATTCACTCTCTCCTGAAACTCTCCATAGTTCTCTGGAATACTATTTTCATACTTATGTTAGAACAAACGATTAATAGCCACACCTCAACATGTGATTTGAAAATTTTAAAATTAATACTGCAGACTGGCTGTTGCTGATGGAATAACTGGAATTCTAGGTTCAATTTTCTTTAAATACATAACCCCAAACCCTTGAAACAAATGTTATCACCAAAAAACACCATCATTTTATGACAAGATTAAACAAGCAAATATACTTACTTATCAAAACTATCACTACATTTTATGAAGCTCTCCAGCCTTTCCTTGGCATATTCTACCACATCTGGATGAAGTTCAATTCCATGATTTATTCCAAAAGGCCCTGTAAATTAAAAATCAGCAGCAATAAATGTCACTGAATCAATGAGCACCTTCTATATGAAGCTGAATATTAATGTTAAACAAAATTATTTCATTATTTGAGAAACTGAAAAATAGGTAATACTTTGTACCTCTGTTTCAGCTTCTCAAAGTTGAATAGAAGCCAAAGGGGGAGCTTTGTGATATGAGTGAGATGATAGTTATCCACCAGGCCCAGATGTTTAGAAAGAGTTCCCTACTAAGATCTAAGAACTATAGCTTCAACTTACTGTTTTGGCAGTAAGGAACACTATTCCTTACTGCTAGAGTACATAAAATAGCAGGAAAGAAACTTTGTGTTTGTTGTAAGCGTTTGCTGCTAACTAATATGTATCTATCTACATGTAATTTACTCGAATGCAAACACATATCTAAATGAGAACTCTACAATTCTACTAAAGAAATGATGAAAAGATTCAAATGGTAAAAGTGCTTGAAGAACTATTAGAATAGCTTGAATAACTATTAGAACATTGCACAAGGAGTCTTTTAAGAAAATCTCGGAATGCTACTATTCAAGCCACTACATTATCCCTCCATTGCTATTCCCTCACTCCAGTGATAATCAAAAGACACTAGTAATGATTAAGTCCCATGGGTTGTTGCCTCTGAAGACTGCTCGGAAGCTTCAAATGGTCCAACGATCAGCAGCCAGGATGCTAACAGGAGCGGCACTCAGGGAACACACAACTCCTCTGTTGCGCCAGCTCCACTGGCTGCCAATTTGCTACCGGGCACAATTCAAAGTGCTGGCTTTAGCCTTTAAAGCCCTAAACGGTTCTGGCCCGACCTATCTGTCCGAACGCATCTCCTCCTATGAACCCGTTAGGACGTTAAGATCGTCTGGGGAGGCCCTGCTCTCGGTCCCGCCGGCTTCACAAGCACGCCTGGAGGGGACGAGTCAGGGCCTTCTCAGTAGTGGCCCCTCGGCTGTGGAACGCCCTTCCTACAGACATTAGATCGGCTCCCTCCTTACTGGCATTCCGGAAGAGTGTGAAGACCTGGCTTTTCGAACAGGCTTTCAACTAAGCAGTACAATTGAGTGATTATTGGAATGGAATAATGGACAACGAGATTGGATGCTGATTCTATTGATGAGACGTGATGGATTGTTATATTACTGTACTGTTGTATTGATTCTGGTGTTAATTAATTGATATTACTGTTTTTAATTGATTACTGATTTTGTATCGTCTTGTTGAAACTGGTTGTTAACCGCTCTGAGTCGCCTGAGGGCTGAGAAGAGTGGTATATAAATGAAGCAAACAAATAAATAAATAAATAATCTATTTAAGATCTTTTAATCTAATGATATTACTTTGAAGTCCCCCAGGGGTTAACATATTCTTAGGGTGCTATTCCAAATATGGGAATAAGTGTGCCAAACAACACATTTGATGGACAATTTAAACAAGCTACAGATAAACATTAACAAAGAATAAGTTGTACAGTATGTACTAATTTACTGTATTTGTTCTAATGAATTTGAACAAGAAAACATTTTATTCCCCGCTAGAGGGAGTAGCAGTCAGTAGTCTAATTCTTTATTCAAACTGGAAATAATTTAAAGTTTTGCTTCATGTTTTGGGCTCTCCAAGAAAACAAGATTTTTTTTAAAAACTGTGATATATACTGCAATTTGAAAAATTAATTTGATTCTTGTTTTTATGTCATATTATTAATATCAATAATCATTTCACAAATTTGCACAGAATGTGTTTAAAATCCCTTACATTTCTACATCTGAGTAAAAACAACTGCAGAGTTTCCTAAACTGACCTGCGCTGTTTTTATGGCACTATTATGTGCTGTTCTGTAAGCCACCCCAAGTCCCTTTTGGGAGATGGTGGTGGGATATAAATAAAGTTGTTGTTGTTGTTGTTAGATCAGACGACTCTACCTACATCCTCCCCTTCCTATTGTTATTTTCCACAGATATGATAAACAAATAAATAGTGGCTACATAAAAAACTGGTTTGCATCTCTGCCCAGCACTGCTGCCCAAGTACAGTTGTTGTACTGGTTTAAACTAGAAGCATCAGAAGAACCAACTACTAATTTTTCATTTCTTGTATACTGTCAGGCCAGGTGACCATGCCTCAAGAGGTATACAAGGAGGCATTTGGCATCCACAGGCTCTAGATGCAGATTTAACCAAACACAAACTGGTGCCCTAGAACTACTTCTGGTTGTACTAGATCTCAGATACTATACAGAATATTGTTTTCAACTATTTTCAATTCAACATGTGTCAGAAATAGAAGTGGTCTACTACCAGGCTCCATAGAGCTGGGGAAGTGCGGAGCATGTACATTTCAAGGCACTCCTGCTGAGTGGGGCTTGCCACTGGCTCAGCTGATTCCCTATATTTATTTTATTTATTTATTTGCTTTATTTCTATACCGCATTTTTCAGCCCAAACAGGCGACTCAATGCGGTTTACATGGTACAAATTATCAAACAATGTCAGTGCAATTAAAACGTAACAAATGCAACAAACAGGATCAACAACATCAATCCACAACAATTAACAAATCAAACAAGTCAACAAGACAAAACATAACGCCTCAATGAAATTAGATCCGTTCTCATAATCCTTGTGCCATTCCTATGTTCCATTTACCGTCTTCCTTTGATTGGTTGCACTGCTTAACCAAACGCTTGTTTATAAAGCCAGGTCTTAACCTTTCTCCGAAACGCCAGCAACGAAGGTGCCTGTCTGATGTCTGCTGGTAAGGCATTCCATAGCTGAGGGGCCACCACGGAGAAGGCCCTGTCTCTCGTCCCCGCCATTTCATTAGTTTGATCATCCATATTTTTTGGTATTCATAGGGTCCTAGAACCAACCTCCAAAAGTAAGTACAAGCACACATTGTACTTACTTTTGAGTAAGGCACAACATCAAAGTGAATTTCTAGAACAGCAGGACATTTGTTTGGTCTTTTGTAAAATTTGTAAATAATAATTCAGGAAGTTGTGATCAGTCATATACATCTAGGGACAATTAATCAGGCACATATGAAGTTGATACTGCACTAGAGTTCCATAAGCATACATCTTTAAAACTGACATTACCAATAAAGTGTATCTACCATCAAACATTTAGGTTCCATAAAAAACATTACCTAATATTAATCCCACCATTGTGCTTAAATATCCGGTTCCACTACCAAGATTAAGAAAAGACAATCCTGGCTGAAGTTTCAATGCTTCCATAACTTCAGAATAAATGCAAGGTGCTGATAAATGTATATTTCCATGCTTCCAAGCCAAGTCTTTATATGCATTGTCCCTATATCCTTCCAGATAATAGTCACCACGGTCAATAGCTCTGAAGGCTTGTTCCACTCTCTCGGTGCGTATATACTGTGCTTCTTTCAAGTTATCAATTAAGTCATCATTGTCTTCTCCTGCACTGACAGCTCCTCCCATGATGACTTTCTTTAACAATTCAATTAACTTCGGCAATACATTGACAGGTCCTTCCCTGGTGTTTTGGCGTAGAAGAGAATGCAGGCCTGTCCGGCTGCTTTGCAACAGAATCCTAAAAGATTTTTAAGAGGATATGCTTTTATTTTCATAGGATGTAAACATGTGATTATGTAAACATGTAAAAGACTACCCAGTGTGAACAGTTATTAGTACTCATTTGTATTTAATATTCTGGACAAGTTTTGAATTAACACACAGTGGTTTAGTATTATACCACAAGTTTTCGGAATTTGAAACTTATTTTTACTAAGGCAAAACAATCCATATCAACTTCCTTGAATGGAACTAGGTGAAAACAATGTTTGGAAATACGCATTCGGTCCTCAAAAAAAAAAAAAAAAAAAGAAAGGCTGAATAAAAGAAAAGAGAAGAATATGTATCAATTAAGGAAAGTGCCTGAAGAGACAGGAAAACAGATAAGATTTGCTCAAGTACAGGCAGTTTCCAAGTTACAAACAAGATACATTCTGTAGGCTTGTTCTAAATTTAAATTTGTATGTAAGTTGGAACATGTACTTTTAAAAGTACAGGGTGAGGCAGCATAACTTCCTTTTTTCAAAACTTAATAAAATCCATTGTATGAATCAGAAAATTTTATTTATTTTTTAATAATGTAGGCGCATACCTAAAGTTTTGTTTTACGTAGTTTTGAAGATCAAATTAGGTAGGTGATGTCCCCCATTCTCCATACACTGAGTAAACTGATTTCTGGTGTTTGTCATGACTCTTGCCAGCATTGCAGGCGTTATGTTGGCAATTTCTTCCTTGATGTTGGTCTTCAAATCTTGTAGGGTCCTTGGACGGTTCACATAAACACGGGATTTCAAAAAAACCCATAGGAAAAAAATCACAAGGGGCCAAATCTGGAGAGCGGATTTCCACTCAAAAATCCACTCAAAAAGTGGATCCACTCAAAATCCACTCAAAAAGCAGGCCTCAATGGCAAAAGCACACTCCTCACTGTTCCAACGCATGATGGCGACTAAACTGTGTCAGGACAAAACTTTATACTCCCACCTCTTGAACAAGACCACTAGCGCTCTGCAAAGTCTTCAACCGACTGAATGGCGCGCATTTTAAAAAAGGAAGTTATGCTGCCTCACCCTGTATAACTTCAGCCATATATGTGGGTGTGTGTTGGATTAAAGTTGGATATTCGTAACTCAGAGTCTGCCTGTGCTATCAACCAAAGGCATGAATACAGTAGTTTGAGGTCATTTTAACATAAACAAGATTGACCACATTGACATCCATTCTTCTTCTAATACTACTGTGATGAGTACTACTACTATGCAACAACAAAATTTATGCCCATTTCTTCCCCAGGATTCTAAAAAAAATCTCCTTATAGAGCAGTGGTTCTCAACCTTTGGTCCTAAACACTAAGTCACTGTTTTCAATTACAACGTTAACCTTTCTTGATTCCTCTCAATGCGTGGGATTTGTTCTTTAAAAAGCTCATAACTATACGGATTTTCTCTGCAGTTTTCATCTGCAGCCTATATGTGGAAAGTGCAGCTCATAAGCTATATATGGCCCCTATTGCACTTTTTCAGCCCCAGGAGCATTGGAATTTGGCTCTGGTCTGCACTCCAATCCACTGATTATCTCCTGAAAAGTCTGTATATTATATCCCATTTAGCTTCTTATAATCAGGTTGATTTCCCTGGAATTATTATGAATATAATTGATAAGGGACACAAAGAGACATTTAGAAAATAGAGCCAATGATAGCAAAATAATATTCTCTTAAGTCCTGAGAAGGGAAATTATTTGTCAAATATAGTTGGCAAGTGGTTTACTTCACATAATCCAATAATTATTTTTTTTTGGGGGGGGAATGTAAATATGTATACAGATAAGACAAAATAGTTCTTTAAAATAATAACAAGATGGCTTATAATTTGTAAGTGATGCAGCCTTAAATTCCCTGGAGACATTTGGAAAAAAATAATGTCCTGTCAACTTAAAATATGTATTGCTAGAAAACATTCAACCTAAACAGACATAATAAAGATGCAGAAACAAAGCAAGGCTGACTATATTTTAAGATTTTCTCCCTTTCAAAGCTTCATTTGCATTAGATTGAGATTTCTTGAAAATAACCTCAACGAAATACCAGTAGCAGGAATGGAACTCAATTCTGGTGACATTTAAGATTACAGAGGAATAGCAAGTATTAATTTTCTCTATCACACATTGAATTGGAAACAGGTCCACAGCAGAGGACTTAGTTATGGTATCTAGAAATAGCAAGCAAAAAAGAGGTATGTCTCTGCCAAGCTTCCAGCAAAATGGCTCCACCTTTTTCAACCTGCTTGAGCTGTTTTGTTTCTTTAATTACATTCACTCTGTAATCTTACTATTATATTTTCTTCAAGAAATTTAGAATTGTATCATTGCTTTTCCCCATTTTTATTAGGCAAAATGCAGTGACTGACTTAATCAACTTTGTGATTTGGCGGTAATTTGAACCTACTGTTTATACTCATGTATATATTGTATATACACATGTTACATTATCCAGGTAACATCATATTTACTGAACCACTATTGCTCCAGCATGCTCTCAACACAAAAGGGGGGGAAAATCCAATAATTTCTTCTTCTAGGACTTTTCATTTTGTTCTGGGATGGATTCTCCAATGTCATCTACTGATCGTATGTTTCTAACTTGAAAGCTTATTCCATCAGAAAAGGTTTCCCTTGTTGTACCTGGAAGGGAGGTGCAGAGTGGCCAGGATTAAGGCAGTTCTGAAACACCTTTGGATTGGAAATGACAGGCCAAGAACAAAACTAAGCATGATCATTAAATTTAATTGCACCCTTAATCCTCATGCACTAAGATAGGGCATTTCAGATCCCAAGTCATTTTTCGTTAAAGAATTTACACAGAACTAGAACTATAAGACATACTACAATCTGATGCATTGTAATCAATTTCACATTTCAGCCATTTATCTAATAAAATTCTGTTCTGATTATGCCAGGGTCTGATTGTAAGTAGTTTAGTTCAGTCTTGGGGAGCATTTTATGCCCTGCTGATACCAACTGGGGTCAAAGCCGCCCTGAGTCCCCCTAGGGGTGAGAAGGGCGGGGTATAAGTGAATGAAATAAATAAATAAATAAATAAAGCTTACAAATTAAACTCTAGATGTTAACTCTTCATGGCTTGAACTGTAGTCAACAAAGGCCCACATTTACACAAAACATTAACACTAAATGAGTCACTTACCTGTTCAAAAGCCAATTCTAGGAAATGGTCTGATATGTCTTTTCTTTGCTGTATCTCTACTGTGAGCACCTTCTTCATAGAACTGTAAAGTAAGAAAAGAAATTATTAGTCTGTGAAGCCACCTAATATACTCATAGGAGATTGCCAACATCATAGCCTCACATATCCGAGGCCCATGACTATCTTGCCAAGAAAAGCTTATGACTGGTTCACTTTAGGACTACCACAAGTTGGAAATGACTAAAGACACACAACACAACAACAGCTCTTTTGGAACTTTTGGCTGAAGAATCCTTACACAGTTTTTAAACTTTTAAAATATTTTTCATCAAAGATTCAAAAAAGTTTGATCAAAGAAGTTTGATCATGATGAGATAATGATGAGATCATACGGCATGTTTAAAGTTTAGTAATTATACTCCCTGCCCCAATACTGTTTCCCATTTGCAATTAATTGATAATTAGTTTTAATATTTCATTATAGAGGCCACATTTTACTGTTTTAGTTACAGGAAGTCCCCAAGTAATGAACAAGATAGGTTCTGTAACTTTGTTCTTAAGTTGAATATGCATGGAAGTCAAAGCAGGAACATTTTTAAGTTTAACTTAACACCCCCCCCCCCTATTTGTGACTAATAATAATATTAATAACTTTATTCTTATATCCTACAACCATCTCCCCAAAGGGACCCAGGGCAGCTTACATGGGAACCAAGCCCAGCAAAACAGAAATAAAATATAACACAATTAAAATACATTGTATTGCAATAATTAAAACAATAGAAACGTGCTACAGACACCATAAAAAATAAGAACATCAATATCCATCAACCAGTAGCCAAGTACAGTGGGCATGTTCTGATCTGGGAAGGCGGGGCAAGGGCTAGTGCAATACTGCTGTAAGCGGGGCTGGTAAAAAGTGCTACAGAACCAGACAGTAATTTAGGGCTGGGAGGGCCTAGTCAACAGATGAAACCAATTAATAAAAAGCACATTGAAACAAGGAGTCGTATCAGGCCCGTAGCCAGGATTTCGTTTCGGGGGGGGGGGGGGGGGGGGCTGAGTTTCGGGGGGGGGGGGGGGCTGAGTCTCAGTGAAAGAGGGTCTAGCCTAGCAAACCTTTTGTATCATTACCCCAATACCCCCATGCATATGGGATATATTGAGTATGGTGATCAGATCATGATATGAATAAACATAACAGTTTAAATAATGCACCAAAAAGGCCTTTTCGCGAACCACCATGAGAATTTGGGGGGGGGGGGGGGGGGGCTGAAGCCCCTCAAGCCCCACCCTGGCTACATGCCTGAGTCCTATGTAAATTAGATGTTTGTAACTCAGGGATTGCCTGTGTTAGGTTTGATGGTAGTCACATATGACCTTGTCACATGGCTGCCACAGTTGCTCCATGTCATCAGGGAGATGTGGGGAACCTAGAGCCTCACACTCCGTATTGCTCAACTCCAGTAAAGGGCAGTCCTATAGGGGGAAGCATTATCGCATGGCTTCCCCCCATGGCAACATGGGAAGCCTCCTATGTTGCCACGCCAGCACCAAGTGTTTGCTCTGACTTACCTCACGCACAGAGCCCAGCCAGTGTCATTTGATGGGAGCCAGTCGGCTCTATGGGTGACTTGGGCTAAAGAGTCACTGATTTTGGCCCTTTGTGATAAGGTAGCTGGTCATTGTTTTAGTTGTTCTCATTACTATTCAATGTCATATATTCTGTTCTACTCACTGTTTTGAGAAGCATCTATTTTTATGATCTTCTCTTCCATTTCATTAAAATAGTGGGTTTTGGGTTCAATTCTTGTTCAGTGATCATTTTCTAGTAAGCTCTACCATGGAGAAATTTTTCACACATTTGCTCACTCCTGCTTCACAGAGATGAACAAACTCAGGAGTCAATCACACTACACTGTTATAGATTTGTTATTCCACTTTAACTGCCATGGAAACATTCTGTTAAAATCTCATGTTTGTAGTTTAATAATACCCAAGAGCTTTCTGTGTGAGAATTTTTACATCCCTCCCTAAACTGCATTGTAATGAGATATTGTCTCTTTGCATGATCACCATCAGTCTAGAATGGGTTATGAATAATCTTTAAGGATTTGTAGCTCCAAAAACCCACTGGCAGTATGTCCACCAATGGAGAAAGTCGAGACTGCAGTTATTTAACAGCAACCTCTATTGTCCTCCCAAAATTGATCCAAGACCAAATTCACGAAAATTAATGTGCTGTATTTGTTTTAAATGATTTCATTCTGTTTTAATTATGGGTAGTTTATATAATTGGCCCTTATTTTTTTTATTATTAGTTTTTACATTAAAAGTTTCCTAAAGTTGGAGCTTTGCTTTTGGCTGTACAGGCAGTCTCCAAGTTACAAACAAGATAGGGCCTGTAGGTTTGTTCTTAAGTTAAATTTATATGCAAGTCATTACAAGTACATTTTAAGAGTAACTTCAGCCATAGATAGAAAGACTGACTGACTGACTGACAGACAGACAGACAGACAGACAGACAGACAGAGGCAGGCTCTGGATAGCACAGGGAAGGATTAACATCCCTGCGGTGAAAGTTTTACTGTCTGTGCCCCTGTTAAGATGATTTTGCCTCACTTTCTGGTCCTGTGAGAATTGGATTTTGAAAAAAAAAAAAACTGGCTTGTTGTAGAAACAAGGGCTGGTGATAAAGCTTAAATGGAGGCACCTTTTCCCCACGATAACTCTTCTAGGAGTGAATTTCCATTCCTAGGGGTAGATTTCTCTCACTTCTTGTTGTCTCACCCCCATACTTAACTGTGGGTCGTTTGTAAGTTGCATGTTTGTAACTCTGGGTCTGCCTGTACTATCAACCAAAGGCATGAATATAGTAGTTTGAGATCATTTTAACTGAAACAAAGATTGCCCGAGTTAGCATAGTCTTTTTCTTGTTCTTCTAGTACTATCACGGCTACTACAAGTCATTTGTAACTCAGGAACTTCCTGTATTTTGTGCACCCTTACACACATTAACCAGATGTATATTTTAAATCAGGAAGTGTCAACTAGAAACAATTCTAGATTTTTTTTTTACATACACACTGTGATGGCACGCCGGGAAGATGAAGAGAAAACTATACGTGTTCGGCTATTTGTCCAGTGACCATCGGTATGCCCTGTATGTACTTTAATTCCCCCAAAATAATACTTTAGAGATGAGACTAAATTTAACCAATGAAGTTTACTGAACAATCAAGGTGAATCAAAACAATGTATACAAAGGTGCAGTTTAATTTTTGATGGTATAGAATTAGAATAGTAAGGAACAGGTATAAGGTATAACTGAGGTAAATATAGATAACAGGAGGCTACGAGATATAATGGTGGTATGTGCTCTGAGGTAACAATAACTATATTTTCTATGAGGTAAGCACTCTCTATAAAACCGCTTTGAGTCGCCTGAGGGCTGAGAAAAGCGGTATATAAATGAAGTAAATAATAATAATAATAAATAAATAAATAAATAAATAAACTCTGGGGCATGTACTATCTATGTTCTTATAAGGCATGTACTGCTCTGATCTATGGCATGTACATGTACTATCTAATCTATAAGGCAAATACAGATTAATTCTATGGCATATACAGCTATTAACTATGGCATGTGCATCTATATTCTTTGGGCAAATACGTGCTAAGGATTGCCTGTTCCAGACCACAAGCCAGACCAGACACTTTCTGGCTAACTACTACAAGCTATGTCAAATTAGAATGGAATAAAAGGTCCTTCCACCAGGCTCTGAGCCAGAATAGGCTGAACCAACAGAGCTCAGCCTCTAGGGGGATCCTAAGTTCCTACTCTAAAACTTAGCAGAATGGAACAGTCCACCTCCAGGGAAATAAACAGATGGGTAAAAACTAGGCTGAGACTTCACACACATCATTTGTTTTTAATTTGATCACAGAAGTTACAATATTTCAATACTTGGATAGTTATTCTAATCTCATCCAGAAAGAGAATGGAAAGAAGGTACAAGACAGAATGGGAGAAAGAAGCCTTGAAAGAAAAGGCAGAGACAGGGAAAGAGAAGGTACAAGAAATTAAAGACAGAGAGATGGAAGGGTATAAGGAAGAGAAGGAAGGGAAGGAGCTCTGCATCAGTGGAGCTGAGGGGGAGGCCCTGGTGAGCCAGGTCGAAGGAAGCCATCTTCACCTTCACCTCCACCTCCTCGGCTTCAGGGCCTGCAGCTGGCGAGGTGGTAGTCCTGGAAAGCCAAGGAGGTAGATGTGAAAGCAGCTGTAGTGCCTACACAGGTTGTTTACCTCTTCCTCCTTGGCTCTTGGCTCACTGTTTTGCTGGCTTGCCCCGTCACCAGCTCCCTTGCATGCATTACAATCGAGTAAATATGGTAATATCAGTGATCCCAATGAAGAGCTATTTATTGTTATTATTTATTGTTACTATTATTAGAGCTAGTGAACTGACTTTTCTTATAACCTTCTATTTTAGTAATTACATAAGAAAGAAAAAATCCAGTCACAACTTGGCTGCACAAGTGGTCCAGTAAGTTGCACAACAACATTTTTAATGATTAAAACAGTAAATTAATATGCACATGCAACAACTCTGAGGTTTTCCAACAAGTTCTGGTCCCTACAGGCTACTACATAGGTCCTGTCAACATAATCCAGGCTTTCTGTAATATCCCACAAATAATCTTTCTTCAGCTTCATCCTTACTGAGAGCAGGAGGATTCTCCTTTTTATATCCTTGGCTGTACCAAAAATCTAGACACAGAAGGTAAAGTAAGTTATTCCAACAATTCACACACACTTTACAAAGGAGCAGAGCAGTTGTTCAAGTAAATATATTTTTCTATGCACATAACATCTATAACAGCAACATCAACTACTTCTGTGTAACACCATTTAGAATAAAATAAAATAGATCTATGCTGTTTAGTGGCAATGAACATTTGCCACTTTGTTGTTTTGCCTGTAACCGCCCTGAGCGTCTTCGGGGAGATAGGGTGGTATATAAAAAAATAAATAATTTGTCATTGTGCTATTGTACAACAAAATTACATGCCCCCCCC